ACATTTCTTCCTTGTTTAGTTTGATCTTCCCTATTTGAAAAGTTAATTAGCCTAGTTGTTCTCATCAACTTTGGCTTTTTGGTACGTGTTCAAGTATCTTTCAGACAGTTTTGGGAGGCTGACTATAAGGAAATCATCTGGACGGGTCCATCTTAACGTTAGAGGCTTTGTTTATTTTTCATGTTAACATTATATTTCTAAGCGGGACAATAATGGCTTGTTCTGTCCTCAGAAAGTCATAAAGTTTTGTTTTCCTGATTTGAAAACAACCCTGGATTTCTCCTCAAATGAGTTTTATGCATTCACATTATGAAACTTTCATTCCTTTTAACAGTTGATAATGCCTGGGAAAATAAATCAATTAAAGGTTGCTGAAGTACTGAGGTGTGCAGTTCTGTTATAACTGAATCCGGGAGTGTCACCAACCTTAATGAGATCATTTGTCTCTACCAGTATAGGGTTGTTTTTCGTACTTTGTATTCATTAGCCTTTTACTTAAAAACTGCTCAAGTTACAGTACATCTTCCCATAGGAAACATCCTCATTAAAATAGCTAACTATGTATAAGAAAAAGTAACTTCTGATGTCTGAACTACATTTTATTTTGTATACTTTTAGCCAGTTGTTAGGAAACATGCTCTTTGAACCTGGAAAATTGCCATTCTTAAATTTCAGAATTTTAATTTGGTTTCAGGCTGGTTTTAATTTATGTAGTAGTTTTGTAATGTAAGCACTAGTTAAAATTATTCTAATTAATATGTGTAATATTAATTTATATGCATGTAATGAAACATTCGATACTGTATTTACTAGGGTCCAACTATAGCTGGACGCATGTATTTCCCATACATTAGCATCACTCAATTTATATTTTGGGAACCCCACTCTGCAAAGTTTATAGTGTTTAAGTTAAGCACAGGCATGATTTCTACCAACTTTCCCACCCCACACCCCCCAGTGCCATCAAGTGATTTTGTTAATTTTTTTATTCTCCCTCTTAGGAAGGATAACCCTACCTTTGATTTCTCTGATACTTCACATGATTTCAGCAATCCTTAATAATTAACTGAAGCCCTTTGTATCTTGTATTTGGTAGAAATATGAAAGGATCTGTCAGGTTGTAATTTATTGCTTAATAAATTAAGTCCCTTCTGGACTTAGTTCATTACATGAAACTCTGCTTAGATCTCTGGAAAGTTTAGCAGTGGATCTAAAACTTATTGTAAGATTGACAAATTCTCATTGTTTCCCCCAAAGAGACAGGAGATTGAGCGTCCTCAATCCCAGGACATTGGTGGAGTCCATAGTGCGGATGGTTATAAATTCAGTTTTAGATTTGTTGTGCTAGGATTTCGAGATATCCAGATATCTTTTAGTTTTCTGTCTTTTATAGATTATTGCTGTATAAGATAACCAGGTACTTTGTTAAAGAAATGAGCTAATGAATTACTGCTGGTAACAAATATTAAAATGAGGTAGTAAATACCTGCCAGATGTGCAGTCAAGTAGCTGTTGCATTTATGTCAGCTGAAAACAGGCTCCCAGCCCTTTTGTAATTGTGATTGCACTACCATTATGTTACCCTTTCACTGTCAAAGACTGAGCTTCTAGCATCATTCTCCTCTTTACTGATGTGATCCCTTAAGCAATTGCTCTTCTGAAAACTTCTGAACCTTTGAACTTTGTAGCCTGATTTACTCTTTTCTTTCTTGCTTAAACTTACTGCTCTAGGGTGAGTACTTAAGGAGTTTCTTGACCACTGTTCTGCTGAACCAAAACCTCTGAGCCTACAGACAGGGAAGCCTGGTGGGTGAAAATAGAGAAGAAATTTTTTTTGAGCAAATACCTTTAATGTTATAGCCTTCTTTTCCTCCCTCACACACATGTGCATGGACATACATCTCAGGAAAACAGATGTCTGCCTGTGGATTTCAGTAGAGAAAATGCCTAGAAGCCAGTGTTCGTGGAAAAAGTAATTGAATTTCTCAATCTTACGTATGTTTGTTAAATTTAAAAGAAACTTTCAGATAGTTTGGGTCAGGAAACCTACTGGGAAGGTCTCTGTTTCTCCTAATTCTTTCCATTATGTTTGTTTTTCTTTTTACAGGCAAATTTAAAAGGCAATTTTGTTGTCCTGCAATTTGAGGATCATAATTGATTTAAATCTTGTTTTTCATTTCTTTTAATGGATTTTTCTTTCAAATGCTGACTTTCTTCCCCAGTCCTTGACATATTTCTAAGAATTTTTACCTTAAATGTTTTTATTAATGTTAGCATGCTTGAGAAGGTTGCCAGAGATGTGAAGGAACAGTGGGCTAAACGTCACTTGCCTGGAGAAAAGGTTCTGTGCAAATTCACGGTGGTTTTTCTTTTTCATAGCACTGATAACCAGAGGAGGATGTTGGTGAATATTTTTGATGGAAAGTGAGTCTTGGAGAGTCAGTCTTTTTCAGGAGGAAGCTGTCTCTTTGAACTGCAAAACATTTGACACAGAGTTGATACATGCCTGTATAGGTATGTGCACATTTTGTTCAAAGGCTATAATCAAAGTTTTTTAAGTTAGGCATTCAAACACTCAGAAGTTTTGGATGTACCACTACTTTTTTCTTTGCTCTTTGGCATTGAGCCTAGGGCAGGAGCCTTCTGGAGTAAAGGAACACGATTCCGGATGGTTTCATGATAAATGTATGCATCAGAGCTAAACTAAGATTGCACCAGTAGCTGTAAATCTGATGTTTTCAGCACTGTGAGACCTCATTTCTTAAATCTTCTTTTACTGTATCTTTCTGTGGATAATTTTGTTTAAAAAGCATTGGAAAAGTTTATTACATACTGCTGAATAAATTTAGGAGCAGGATCAGTTTTCTGATGAGCTGTTGTTGATCTTCATGATTATTAGTATTTTTAAACATATGAACAGTAGTTGAGGAATATTGTATGTTATTCAAGTGGCTCCAATTTTCTTTGCATCAAACAAGTAGGGATTATTTTTCTTCAACACCAGCTCCTTAAATAAGCATTTTAGTTCTTTGTCATAGAGATGAGTTTAAAGACCTAATTCCTAGTAGCTGCTGAAGGTTTATAGCAGTTCTAGCATATTTGTGGATCTAAAGTAATTTGGAAGCTGAATACTTGGTTCAGGCATGATTTCCTGCATATCTGTGGATTTAAAGTGATTTGGAACCTGAATAGTTTTTTCAGGGGTGATTTCCTTCCATGGTTAAAGGAGCTCTACTGTTCTGCTGTTCTTCCCTACCAGCAAAACTCATTATAGATTGTGTTCCTAAGGTTTTCAGCCATTGCACTGCAGTTTTCTCTCCATTTAGGCCACGTTTTTTTCTTACTTATCTATGAAAAGTGTTGCAAATTTTTTTTTTCCTTAAAAGTGATTGAAAAAATAGACTCATTGGCCCAGTTCATCCTCTGCTTCTGCATTTGCTTGTACAGCAGCTCTCTGCTGTTCAGCTCAAGGCATCTGTGCCCACTGCAGCTACCCAGACTGGCAAAGCCCATTATTTTAGGGTCATCACACAGTGGTTTGGGTTAGAAGGGACCTTAAAGATCATCTAGTTCAAACTACCCTATCATGGGCAGGGACATCTTCAACTAGACCAGGTTGCTCAAAGCCCCATCCAGCCTGTCCTTGAACACTTCCAGGGATGGGGCAGCCACAGCTCTGGGCAACCTGTTCCAGTGTCTCACCATCCCCATACCAAAGAAAGTTTTCCTCATGTCTAATCTAAATCTCCCCTCTGTCAGCTTAAAGCCATTCCCCCTTGTCCTGGGGGGCTGCTGCTTTCTGTCTGAGCTGTGCCTCATGTGGTAGTGCCCTGATATGGAAATAAATAGCACTCAGGTCATAGTGTTATATAAAAGAAACTGCAAGTTGTGGTAACTCTTGCATATGGTCTGCAGGCGAAGAAGACATAATGTGTAAATGTCATTGGCCTCACTTGACACACTGAGTCTATGTTAATTCATCCTCAACTTTTCTGTAATCATTTCTGGTGGTTTGAAGTATGGCTAAAGTTCACCTGTTTGTCTGGTAAGACTTCAGATGTGCATTACTGTGCCATCTGCCTGTGTTATGTGGGTGAAGAACTGTGGCTCAGTAGAAATTGTCAGCTGTGCATTAGTTGGATGTTAAAGATGTGTTAAGGTACATTTCGCTTAGTTTATCCTGGATTAAATCATTACTATTTCAAGATGCATTTTTTAAATATTTTAAAGACATTTTAACTAATTTTCATGTTTTTATTACCAGCTTCATTACAAAGAGTAATATCGAAACAGAACAATTCTCACATTTACTGTTTTCTTTAGTATTTTTTAAATGCTTCCACAAAATTATCTTTACCCTATTTACAGTGCACTTCTGATGAGAATGTACAAGAAATATTCCTTTCGTGTTTTCTATATTCTGATGATGCTGTTGGACATCTGTTTAAGTATCAGTTGGGATTTACTGATAAACCACATGGTTTTAAGTTTTTAGTTAATGAAAACTAGTAAGAGTTTAGTTTTGGTTTGGTTTTGCCTTCTCCCCCCCCCCATGTCTGAAGAACAATGCACCAAGCAGAACTCTTTTTCTAGAAGAATTGCAAGGATTGGCTTGCTGCTAGTTTAAAATGTCTAGAAAAAAAGACATGGTTGGGCGAGAATACGGGTGAAGTCCTTCATTTGACCTTTAATGAGTGTTTTACAAGGTACTTGGCTTGGAATGGCTCAGGCTAACAAATTCTGCACTGGGCATCTCTTCTGTAACCAACTTAATTGCATATCTGATACCGGATCTTGATTTCTCTTTGAATATTATTCTCTTTTCTGATGCTTTTCATGCTTTTGAAACACTTTTTGTCTTATTCCTTCAAGCTACTCTTCTGATCGTTTCAGCTTTGGATGTTTTATTGTCACTCTGGCAGTGTGATCAGGATCTGTGAAGTTGACCATCCTATTCTGTGTCCATATACCCTGGCTTATTCTGACTTTCTCTTTCACAGAGCTGACGCATGGTCTTCTTACTGACTTCAGAACTAAAAGTAACACAGCAAATACTGTGGAGAGGGAGTAAAAGCTGTAAGATACTCTATGGATATGCACTGGCTTCTTCTGCACATGTGTAGAAGAAGGTCCAGCTAGCAAGTCAGAACCGAGGAAGCTGTGGAAGAAGATTGCTCAGAGAAGCAGAAGGGATATAGTATATTCATCTGGAGTTGTTACTAGAAGCCAGATCCATCCAGGATTGAAAGGTGAGATTTCCTGTAGGTTTGTTTATGTCATTTTTTTATTTATCTGTTTGATTCAAGGAAGACAGTTGTCTTTAGTGTGCATTTCTATGAAAGTTATATGAAGAAGCACGTGTGTTAATTTTTTTCAGTTTGGTCACTTAGAATGTTGTTTTAGGGCAGTTAATAGTGATTGAATGTCCTTGGAGCATAAGTTTCCAAGGAGATGACTCTTGCCTGACAGCTTAGTGAAGAGAACTGGGGAGCTGCAGAGACTGAATAAGATGCTTGATAACTGGAGGCAGCCTGGAATGACAGAAAGGATCATGACAAGATCCTCAGTAGGAGGCTGAAGTCAGACAAATACAGAATAGAAACAGATAGGAAGAAAGAAGTATTTGAAAAACAGCTTGAAGATGAGATAATTACTTGATGCTTTTAAATCAAAATTATACAGATTTCAGCAAATACCACCATGGGTCTAGCTAGAACATTCTTTACTATGGTTTGCAGGGGCTGTCCAAACTGATTAAAGTAGTGTTCCCTTCTAGCCTTTTCTTCTCTGTTTGGAGCTGATAAGAAAGCATTGTCTATCCAGTTTAAGTTGTAGTGTATAAAATTATAGCTGGCAATTAAAGATGAGGAGGAAAGCCACAGCAAGGATAGAGATGAGGAAAACAGTGTGAATTGTCTTAAATGCTTTAGACACAGTGTTCCTCTTGCTATGCTTTAAATGGGAATTATCTGATGGTGGAAGGCACAGCATGCTGAAGGGGAGAGGTAGAGACAAAGTGCTAGGAATGGCACCATTCTGAAATGTTGACCTGACTCTGCATTTCTCTGGTGAAATAGCTATTTTCTGGAACCACTGACAAAAGGTAGGGGTTTCATGTTAACTAATTTTCTAAGTGTTACATTGAAGTATTTGCTCTTCAGGTGCTTGCCGGAAAGGCTCCTAATGCTGCTCTGCTGGGGAATGTGTGTTATTTATTAAATGTTATAACAGATTTGCAGTTGGTGTTCTGGATAGTATCAGTAGTACAACCTGAGCTTTATTTGTAGTATCATCTAAAATTTAATGCAAATAATTCCAGTGCATAAAATGACTATATTTGCATCTATTTCCGTTGTCAGTCAATCTGATTAATTAGCCTTCATACTATTGATTCTCTGTCGGATATCTAAATATACACAAATGACAACACAGAGATGTTTTGGTGGTAATAGGTTTTGTGCTGTTTTTTTGTTTTCTGTTGGGGTTTTGTTTTGTTTTTCTGGCTCCAACTTTCCCCTTCCATTTAATAGGTGATCTTTTAGCACACTGTGTCTTAGTTGATATTCCTTCTATCAAGGTTTGTCCCATGAACCTGTAAGGTCTAGCTTATAGACAAGAAAAATACTGCAAATGTTTTTGTGACTGTACTTGAGCTTTCTGTTACAGGGGTAGTCAAACAATCTATCAGTAGTAAACTCTGACTTTTGGCGGGAGTAGAGCAGCAACACCTTCTTGGAATCATGAACTAATGAAAGCTTGTATACAAATTTAACAAGTTGATCCTGTTGTCCTATAGGTTAATATTCTGGGTATTACTTAGGCAGTAAATTATTTTTGTGGAGGAAACAGGGTTAGAATTGACTTGGTTAGAAAGTTTAAACTACTTTTTATGCAACTGTTTTAGTAGCATGTCTCAAAATAGGATTAATTTGCAAAGTCAAGTGATGGCACAGAAAAGACACAGAAAAGGCCGTTCGCATGAGCTTTTGTTCTATGTATTTGCTTCTTAAATTAGAAAAAAAATTCTCAGTTGTTCCACTGGATTGGATTGTAAACTACTGTTAGGTATAAAATAAAATCTAATTTTTATGGGAATTTTTTTTCTCACCAGTTGCTCTGTTCGTTAGTGAATGGATAGTACTGTCCTGTCTTTATTTGTAGGTAATAAATAGCACATCTGTTCAGATAATCAAAACCAGGGTGTCAGGGTAATGCTTGAGTCTTCACATGTGCTTTAGAAGCTAGGACTCAACTTCCCAGAATATGCATTTGTGAGCAGCATGACCAGTACCAAGAAGACTTCAATATTTTATTGTGAGAGATGATCTTGGTCCATAGCTGTCATCTGAGAGCAAAGAGAAAAGTCTGTAGAAATACTGTCTTACCAGCTGCGTTTTGCATAAGTTAAAGATCTTTATCAGTTATTTTCTATCATTACTGTGTGGGTATTCTAAGGCTGGCAATCTGTTTTTTGTTCTATGCCTTTTTTGTTTTTTCAGTCTCTTGCTTTCACCATTTGAGGTTACTTTCTCCTCCTTGATCCAAGGAAAAAAGCTCAACCCAAAACACAACCACCAACACAAAACCCCTGGTTTGTTACCCCAACTGCCTAACAAGTTATGCAAGAGAATTTATGTGAATTTTAAGTCATTTGAGCGAGTTACGTTTTCAATCTGGGTTGAACATTTCTGTATTTAAATGTTGTCCTGTTTCCATCCATAGCTTAAGAATGGAGGGAAAAACAAACCAAACAAACCAGAAAACCCCAAAACAAATCACAAACAAAAAAAAACCTGTGTATATGGTGAATCTGGTTTTAGATTTAATTTTTGGACTTTTTGAGAGAGGACCACCTCAAGTCTAGGACACTTGTTGCTCTTTATTTCTGTGGAAATATAAAGTGGCACAAGCACTGAGGTGTTTTGGCCTGCAGGTGTGCTGCTGGGGGGGTTGTGTTGTGTTAGGTACTCTCTCTTGGTTTGTTATTTTCTGATCAAGTTACAGCAGTGCAAGCAAGATGAAGTCTGCCTATGTGTGTTGCAGAAAGCTGAGGGTGCTCAGGACTTGCTTAGGTCCATTTAAAAAGAAACCATTTGCAAGACTTGATGATGTTTCTTTGTGGGTGAAATGTAAATGTTTTGAATTATACACATTAGAGAAAAGCAAAGGGGTTTGTGGATGTAGTGTGTTTCCAAAGAATGCAGGAATTTAACTAAAAAAAGGTTTAACAACAAATTCCAAGAATGCAAGTCCAAGATGGATTTTGAGTGAAGGTTGTTCAGTTTTGCCTCTATTTCTTTTTTGATTACAATTAATACCTACATTTAATTTTTCTTCAATATAAGATTTTTCCCTAATAAAATGGGCTAAGATGTCATGGCAAGTCCATATCTGTATGAAGTCTCTCTGATTTTTTTTTTTTTTTTTCTTCTGGGTATTCCTTTCAGGACTTACAGGTGAATCTGTGAATCTGTTAAGTTTTATTCCCTTTTTTTGTGTGATATTTTTAGTGCCCAGACTTCTAGGTTGCATTACAGGTATTCCAGAGAGGTCTTTCAGTAGACCTGTTGTTGGTATTGCTCTTATTTATTAGCACACTAGAGCAAATAAAAATTATACTTAAGAAATTGAGAGTTGCAACAAACTTTGTAGGTACTGTAAGAACTTTCTCACTTTCCCTTTTCTTCTCTCATTCCCTGACTACAGTGGTGAGCTATGAGGGCAAAATATTCCTGTTACTTCGCTTATATATAGCAACTTATTTAGTGTGGAGCAGACTCCATATTTTATGCTGAGAGTTCTGGTTTTGTCATCACGTAACAGTTCCATAAAATTTATGTCCCAGGAAGTACTTCTCTCTGCAACTGAACCAGTCTGTTTCTGCAGTCAGATGGTACTCATTGTAAAGTGGATATTGTAATGGTTATTTTACATAAAATTACTTCATTATTTTTCATCCTTTCTCAGATCCTTATTTAATCTCAGGTCTGCTCTACCAAGTGTAGCACATGAATTATAAAACTCACACTCACTGTTTTCTTCCATCATCAAAATCCATCACTTATACTTGAGAGCAGAAGTAGCAACAAAACTAGACTCTTCCTACTTATTTAGCATAGAATGATCTAATGGCTGGAGATACCTGTTCAACTTTACCTTCAACCAGTTTCAACTTCTAATTTAAAAAAAATAAAATTAAATCCAGCCTTTGGATATGGAAACTCCTTATTGCTTCTTTTATCCCTAATTTTATTCAAAAAATCTTTAAAGAGAAAAATCTGTTATGAGTACTGTCTCTTTTACAGGCTTGAAGATGTAGTTTCATCTTCAGTTGGTTATAGAAACATCTTAGTGAAACCACCCCAAGTAGTGGATGATAACGTATTAGCACTGCATTTACTGGTATATAGATTGCACTCTCCTTCTGTATTCCCATCCCCAAACTGGCAGTCACTTTAGAATTACGTACAGGTTTCCTGGAAACTTCTTATTTCTTAGCAGTGGCACCTATGCTGACGTCCGGAAGCTTGATTTGAATCAATAAATGTAATGAATAGTTAGATTAATTCTCCCAGCACTCCAAAAATCTTTTGGCAGTTACATTAAACTTTCAAACCTTGTGTAAATTTATCAAGCAAATTTATTTAGTGGTCTTCGTTTATGGCTTGCTTGGACAATATCAGAATATAATAAAAACATCCTTCAGGAAAAAGGAGGGGTGGTGAAGGAGCAGGTGGCCGGTGTCATGAAACCCAAAGTCATAGGATCAGCAAAATGCTGTACATTGTTTCTAATGTGCTGCATTTAGAAAGAGAACATTTAATGAACTCACTTTAGGGGATGGGATTTGTTTTGTAATTTTTGTCTATTCAGAATAAGCTGTTTCATCTTTTCTTTAAGGAAACTTGCTGTATCATGTAGGGAGTCAGGTATAACCAGATAAAGTGGCATTAAAAAAACTGATAGAGATTTCAAGGTATGTCAAGGATTGTTTTCTCTTTCAGACAGCTGAATATTATCAACTTATGTCCAGCCTGAAATGGTCAGATTTTAACTGAATTACAGAATCACAGTAACTCAGTCTTTCCATTTCTAATTTAAGTCCACAGACTCTTCTTGAGTTGTACAACAAAGAAAAGTAGGCCTTTCTGAGTTGAGAAAAATATGCATGTGTGAATGAGTTGGTTTGAATATGCTGCTTTGCATATGTAAAATAATCAGTAGCAGAAGGGAATAGTAAAAAATCCTG